AGAGTCTATAATACTGAATGACCTCTCACAGAAACAAAGATCCGAGTATCACATGTTCTCACTCATATAATGGACCTTGAACATCCAATGTAATACTATAAGAAAATGACTGATGGTACTGGGAAACTATGGGGGGGATGGGATTAACAGTCGCAAATATCTGTCTGGGGATGGGGAAACACCTCTTATCAACAGGGTGCCTGAATGAAACGTAATTGTACACCTAACCCTTAACTGTACCCCACAAAATCATAATAAAAAATACTGATTAATTAAAAAAAAAAAAAAAGGAACTATCCTCAGTTCCTTGCATTCTTCAACCGTGGTTCAGGTAAATAGGATGATGGATTAAAGTAACTCAAGGAAAAGAGGGTGTGTCTTGGTAAAACGTGGAATTTTAAAAGAGGACTGTGCCACAAACAAAGGGAATGGACATCTGTTGAACACCTACTGTGTGACAGACACTTTGCACATGTTTCTTTTCTATTCCTTAAGAAGGCCACTGAAGCTAGGTTTCACCGTCAGCATCTTATAGATAGGGAATCAGATTGAAGGATACAAGACCATCACAGGTGTTCCTTTCCCAGAGTTAGTCAGTGGCAGTGCCAGTGTGACTGTTTCCCCCAGAAGGAATTGGTCCAGGCCTGGGCTGTCTCAGGCTACCACAAATTCTGCCCAAGTCAAGGTAGGGTGAATGTGGTATCTCACCATTGCTTCCCCTCACTCCCCTCTCGTTGGCTTTTCAACATGCGCCTTCTGCATAAGCACAGAAACCCCTTTCCTACTGTTTTACCTTCTCTCTGGCCACCTTCAAATTTTTAACAGTGGCTAAAATCATTAAAATTCGAACTGTAATACATCATTCTGATGTAGTTGCATGGAATCATGTCAAAGAAGACTGATTCAGTCAAACATTCTTGAGTAAACTTCCAAGTGCACTTTCTACCTTATTCAATAATACGTCATAGATACTAGATCATTGCAAACTAGTAATTCAAATAATCTTCCAAAGTCACCATTACTTCTTGAACTTCCCATGTTAACGGCTGACCATCTTTTCCAACCTTTCTGTGTAAATAGGTAGTTTGATTCTGGGAAGGAGTAAACTCAAGTTCCTGCTTATACTTAACACAAATCATGGAATACTCAATGTAACCAAAATACTCCAATGTGGGCACATCCCGCTATAAAGACAAGTAGGTTTTTGTCAGGCCATGCCAAATGTCTGGCTCCTCTTTCCCAACTATCACTGTCAGGGTTTAAAAGAGAGAAAATGTAAGGAACGTAAGGCATGGCTCAGCACCTTTAAGAAATGCCAAAGAGCAGACTCAATGGGTCACAAATAATCTACCCCTTTCAGGTACTATATAAACTTTTTTTCTTTCCCCTTTCTTTCTTTTCTTTTCTTTTTGTTGATGGTGGGCTATTTCTCTAAGATATGATTAAAGATGACCATACAGAAAAATACAAAGGGTTTACGAATATACAGCATTAGGCATTTATATTCAGAATAAAAATATTGCTTCTCACAAAACGTTCATTTGTTCAGAGTGCAGTCAGCTTCACTTATTCTCCATCAGGGAGAATAGATGTAATGTAGGACTCATTTTGACATACATTTTGACTTAAGGTATAGAAAAATGTAGGACTGCAAAATCCAGAAAATCATTCTGTCTCTAGGACATGGTATACAAAAATAACATAGATGCAAAGGAATTCATAATGCTCTGATACCATCAGCAATAATCTGTACAAGCAATAAAATAAATATACGGTTAATATAAAAACAAACCACACAAACAGAACCCAACAGACTCCAGAGCCCAATACCTTTTTCTAAGATCGGCAGTCTCCTCCTGGCCAGGACAAACATCAGATCCTTCGTCAAACTGGATCTGATGTTCTGGTCTTGTACTGACTCTAATGGTGGCAGATCTGGCAACTTTCATGTCTGATATTATGCTGCCAAAACTGAAATAAGAAAAAGGTCAAGTGAATTAGACATCTTAGCTAGGCAGTAACAGGCTTTCTTAAACAAGAAACTGATATCAATTAAGTTTTATTTTACTTTTTTTTGTTGTTGTTCAATCGAGGTCTTTCTCTGTTGCCCAGGCTCACTGCAGCCTCAACCTCCTGGGCTCAGCCTTCAGAGTTGTGGTGACTACAGGGCTCTGCCACCACATCCGGCTAATTTCTTTATTTTTTGTAGAGGCAGAGTCTTGCTATGTTGCCCAGGCTGGTCTCCAACTTCTGGGCTCAAGCAATCCACCTGCCTAGGCTCCTAACGTGTTAGGATCGCAGGTGTGAACCATCACACCCAGTCTTATTTTACTTTTATGTACTAATTTTACAGCATATAAAGTTATGCTTAAATTAAAAATATGTCACATATTAACATCTATGTAACAGATCATTGAGATTTATGTCTACTTCTATCTTTTAAAGATGTTCTCCATATTCATTTAAAATATAAATTAAAAGTATCACTTATGAAGAATTATTGTTCGAAGAAACTGATAGGAAAGTACAATCAACATTTGTGTACATATCATCTACACTCAATAACCAAATTGAAATGTCGCCATATTTATTTTTGCCTTGTATTTGTTCCAACACAAAATACGTCATTCAACTAATAGTGCAGACACCTATGTTGCTCTGTTAACCTCCTGACACAAATCGGGTACACATGCTTATTGGAGATGGCTGATTTAGACGACCCTCCAAAACGAAGCAGTGCCGCCACTCACCACACGTGGGCAGCAAGTTGTATGACCAGGGATAGAGTAATGAGAGACGCAGAGGGTAAGTGGAACGATGTCGGCTCAAGCATGTGGGGGAAAAAGAGAAGGAAACACATCTGAAAATGATCACACTGTGCATTAAACCAGCAATCTGTTTTGCTGAAAAAATTAATTTTCTCAGATAAATTATCTTATTCTGTTGTTTCCTTATGTATTTTTAATAACATTACTGAACGTATCATTTATTTTTCATGGACAAGAAACCATGTAACTTCCTAAAGGCAAAGTTCAACCATTCAACTGGTCTTTTTAAAAACTACAATGTGACTTCAGATGCAAGGTTTTTAAGAAACTGAATTGCTAAAATTCCATTTATGAGGTATACTTTCCATATAAAGGTATATATTCTGTGTATGACCCAGTGGTCATAAGCAAACTGTCTGTTTTGAGGATGCAAATGTTTCTGACGTGACTGTTGGGTTCCCTCACCTGATTCTGGGTCTCTCTGCGTCTCTCTGCGCCCTGGTGTCTTCCTCGTGCTGCCTGAGCTGCCTGAGCAGCTCGGACTTGGTCCTCTGCTTGTCAAAAGGGAGCGAATCTGCAACTGCAGCTGCAGCCACCACCAACTCAGGATGCAGGGGCTCATCGCTGGAAAGGAAGATGGAAAACAAGTGAGAAAGACAACAGAGGGATTGCCTATTATGCCATTAGGTTAGTGAAAGCAAATGTTTCCTGGGAGGAAAACTTTCTATGGTTAAAAAAGTATCCTTCAGTTCCATTTCTGATGAAAATCAAGATTTCTAACATAGTAGGTGGCAGTTTTATACAGACTTTAAAATGCTAAAGGTTGAAGTTAATGGACACTTGCTGAAGCACAATACTAACTCAGAATGATCTATTACGGAAGAGGGGTAAGGGACCAGCCTCAAAAATCATAAAGCAGGCCAGGCACAGTGGCTTATGCTGTAATCCCAGCACTTTGGACACCTGAGGCAGGAAAATGCCTGCGCCCAGGGCAACATGGTGAGACCTTGTCTCTACAATAAATCAAAAAAATTAGCTGGGTGTAGTGGGGTATGCCTGTAATCCCAGTTACTTGGGAAGCTGGGGTGAAGGGATCGCCTGAACCCAGCAGGCTGAGGCCGTGATCATGCCACTGCACTCCAGTCTAGGTGATGGAGTGACTCCAACTAAAAAAAATAAGAAAATTGTAAGTTAGATGTCACTTTATTTCAAGAACAATATATATTGCAAGCAAATACAAAGGTGGCTTAACCTATTCATGGAAGACTTACTCATAATAGCCCAAAACTGGAACCAACTCAAAGGTCTGTCATCAGAATGGATAAACAAATTGTGATATATCCATGCAATGGAATAAAACTCAGCTCATGCCAATCACATAAGTGAACCTTGTAGACATCAGGCCAAATGAAAGAGGGTGGACAAAACAAGAGTACATTCTGCAGGATCCCATTCATATCAAGTTACAGAACAGGCAAAACTAATTGAGGTGAGAAAAATGAGAACAACAGTTGCCTCAGGACACAAGGCGACTGACTGGGAAGATGAAAACGGGAAACAGCCTATCCTGGTAAGTGTGTGGGTTACATGGGCTTGTCTGTCTGCCAGAATCCTACAGCTAAGACTGGCATACTCCGATATACATGCATTTACTTGAAAACAGGAAAGAAGGCTACACAATGTTGGTTATTGCTGCAGACACCGGGGTCTTGTCAGGGTCCACTAAATATTCAGACCACAGGCCTATGACAGACACACCTGGCCTGTCTGTTCAGGAAGAGAGAAAACAGAGCCACTGTAGGCTGGCAGGACAGGCTTGGCATCCCTCGGTGGGGGCCCTTGCAGTGTTCATGGGCTGGCACTTCACACAGTTACCCTAGAGTGAGAACTGAGATCTGTCATCAGGTATGGGAGCTCCTGGCTTAGTGCCCGCGGGAGGCATCATCTCTTGAAACAAGGCAAGACAGGTACATGGAGTTTCCAAGGTCCCTGCAAAGGACACGCAACGACAAGAGTTACTGCATTCAAGGAGGTCCTAAGAATGGCGTACCCATCAGATACCTGTAGTGCCCCCAGGCCAGATACAATAGATCAATTCTGTCATGCCAACATTGCCCACATTACAGCTGACACTCTCCAGTGGTCAGGTTACCAGGTGTGGCAGGTTACATTTTCAGAAAATGGAGACAGCAATACTTATGGTCCCACACACTCTTTCAAAACACTGCCAACCCCCCATCAAGAGGGTAAATCTATCCCCCCACCAAAACCAGGGGAAACTTTGACTACCTTGATGAACAGAACAAGATAGAAGTGACACATCGTGACTTATGAGGCTATGTCGCATAATGTGATACAGCTTTCACCTGGATTTCTCTAGTCGTTTGTCTGTGGAACCCAGCAACCGGGCAAGAAACTCAGGCCACATAGAAAGGCATAGATAAGTACACTGGCCAAGAACCTCAGCTAAAGTATCAGCCAACTGCCAGCATCAAGCACTGGAAATGTGCCTTCAGGTGACTCCAGATCCCAGTCTTGAATCCAGCTTAGTTAAAGCTAAGTGGGACAGACACAAGCTCTCCACTTGGGCTCCAGTTCTCAGACTCTGCCCTGAGGCACTCTGGAGCACTACAGGAAGATACAATCACGCCTGTCAGTAACCACAACTAGGGAGTTCACAGTAACATTATGACTGTCCCGTAATATTTGCAGGGTTGGGGCAGGTGGGGTGGTAGGATGGGGTGTTGTTTCCAGGAACAACCACCCCCGACTGTGGATGCACAAGCCTCTTATATAAAATAGCATACAACTAATGCACATCCTCCTGTATACTTTAAGTCATGTCTAGATTTCTTACAATACCTAATGCAACATAAACACCATGCAAATAGTTTTTATACTGTATCTTTAAAATAATTTTTTTTGAGGTGGAGCCTTACCCTGTCACCCAGGCGGGAGTACAGTGGCACAATCACAGCAGCCTCGACCTGCTGGGCTCAGGTGATCCTTCCACATCAGCCTCCTGAGTCACTGGAGTTACAGGTGCGCATCATCACGCCTGGCTAAGTTTCTGATTTATTGTAGAGACGAGGTCTCACCAAGTTGCCCAGGCTGGTCTCAGGCAATCCTCTCGCCTCCACCTCCCAAAGTGCTGGGATTATAGGCATGAGCCCAGCTTAGTAACTTTTAATTGGTATTATTGTATACTGTTGTATTGTTATTTTTTATTGGTCTTCAAAAAAAATATTTTAGATCCCAGGTTGGTTGACTCTGAGGATGCAGAGTCAGCAGCTATTGAGGCCAACTGTATACTGATGCACTGCTTTCAAGAACATCACATCTTTGTGAAGATGGTTTCTCAGCAGGTACTGATAAACAAAATAAACAAGCAAACAAACAAATATCCCATGGAAATCAATGTGGAATGGGGGAAGGTGGGGTAACCAATCTTATACCAAGGCTAGGTCATTAAAAAGAAATACAACTTCCTCTTGGCTCACTTTCTCCTGAGATACTTGTCCCTGGAACCCAGCCGCCATGTAGCGAGAAAGCCCAGGCCACAAAGAGGCCACATGTAGTGTTTTCCGCCAACACCCTCAGCTAAGGTCTTAGCTGACAGCCAGCATCACTGCCAGACCTATGACTAAGCAATGTCAGATGATTCCAGACATCTTGGTCTTCCAACTGAGGTCCCAGACAGCACGAAGCACAGACTGACCTTTCCCACTGTGCTGTATCCAAACTGTGAAACCACACCCACGGAATTTGTGAGCATAATAAATGGTTGCTTTATGCCACTATGTTGTGGGTAATTTGCAATGTGGCCATGTTAACTGTATCAATGAAGGCTCAACATATAATACAAAGAACGAAAACAAAGGCAGGCTGAGTATGAAGCAAGGATGACAATGCCTCATGAAGCAAAGATCATGAATAACGTCACCCGTGCACGTGGGAGTCCTTAAAAAGGGCAGGGAAGGGCAAAAATCATTCAAAGATACTTTTTAAAAACTCAAAACAAGACTAGTGCCCTAATTCATGAGTCTTGACATGGGCTCAAAGCTTCTTCTTTGAGCATAGGATTCCTGCCAGAAAGTCTCCAGACATATCTGTTATATATAGCATACTCAGTACATACTCCAATATTTCTAATTTCTGTTTAGGTGGAAAAGTGGAACAAAAATGTATAAAAGCTTACGAAACAGTCTAAGTGTAGAATCCACCCACATACTTATTATGCCTGTCTTACTCATACCTAATTGGAAAGTAATTTTTTAAATGACCAATACTGATTCTTTCTGAAGCATTCAACTCATTTGAACCATTTCTGTAACAGTTAATTAAATTGCATAGTTATAATAAAGAATACAATAGGTCATAAACAGGTCTGAGGGTATTTAAAAATGTCACTCTTGATAAATATTTACACATGTTTGCATTATTTATTTCCATACACTTATATATAATTCTTTTGTTACTAAAAGGAGGAGAAGGAGGTTCCTATAGTGGGAACTCACTGATTAACGTACTCTCGATCACCCAATTATACTTTCCAGAGGTACTTTTGATACAATGTAGAAACCAAAAAGTTCCATTAAAATGTTAAATCATTCTTGGAAACAGAAATCTACATTATCTGTTTGTTATGGTAAGAGAAGTCAATGATGGGTATTCTAAAGCCACCTGCCTTATTACTGGAATTGATGATGTCACTATCTCAAGTATTGCTACAACAAAATACTGCCATTTAACTTACAATACAATGCTGAGATATAACTGACTGCACTTAGAATCAAGTAAAATACTACTCTTTTGACAAGAACACGTAATTATAATACTCTGAGGAAACCACTAAGAAAGCTGAAAGCACTGACAATTATTGGCCAAAGGAAGTCATATAAGAACAGTTGTAATCAACATAATATATTAAAGAAGAAATCTTTAAGATGGAAAAATTCAAAAAAGCAAGTTCTTTACAGACATGAAGCGACCTTCAAATCAAGATGTAAATGATATTGCTAATTGACAATTTAAAGAGGTAATTAAATGGCAGCTAATAGCACTGATAAACATGTAGAGAATTGTGGCATTCTCAAATAGATAACTTTCTTTTCTCTGGATTATATACAGATATCCTCTTGTTATTTATTTATTTACTTACTTATTGAATTGGGGTCTCACTCTGTCACCCAGGCTGGATTGCAGTGGCACAATCACGGCTTACCATAGCCTCGACTTTCTGGGCTCAGGTGATCCTTCTGCCTCAGCCTCCCTAGCTGCTGGGTCTACAGGTGTGTGCCACCATGCGTGCCTAATTTTTTAAAATTTTTTGTAGTGGTGAAGTCTCACTATTTTGCCCAGGCTGATCTTAAACTTCTGAGCTCAAGCAATCCCCCTACCTTACCCTCCCAAAATGCAGGGATTACAGGCATGAACCTTTTGTTATGTAAAAATAATACAATAACAGCATTTTTCAAATAATTATTAGATTCCGTGTCTTTACAACCTGAGATTTATTCTTACTGAATTCACTATCTCCCAAGTACTCTGAGTAAAAATATTTTTTACTAAAACAAAAAGCTTACTGGAGTTTCAAAAGTTAATTTCAAAGAACATTCAAACTGCTATAAATTTACCTCTTCTTTGGGGCAAGCTCCATAGCTCTTTGAAACCTGCCAGTTGTAGCCTCCAAACTCTTAAGTGGTCTTCTGCTGGGTGGCTTTGTGGTTTGTACATTCACTGTGCTTAGTTCGACTTTCATGCTCTTAATGATATCCAGCAAGTCTTTCTTTGTATTTTCCTTTCCACCATCTTTGTTCCCTGGAGTCTCCTTGGGAATCTCACCAGGTGGATCAGACCGTTCATCTTTCTTGCTACAGATCACGCTGTTAGTGCCAAAATATCTTTGGATATTATTTTTTGTCCTGGAAAGATAAAGAAAAAATGATAAACACAAAAACAAAATAAAAAAGCAATAACTAAAAACATTGCTATGTGTTTAAAAATGTTTTCAGTTCAAGCCCTTTCCATTTGCTTTTTGTTATTATTAACAACCATAACAACAGCAATTTGCCACTTATTCATAGACACTATATGCCTCGCCTTGTGTAACATATGCACATTTCCTCACACCCACACCAACCCCATAAAGCTCGTATTATCCCCATTTTTCAAGTAAGTTAACTGAACATCAGAGAAGCAACCTACCCAAGGTCATGTAGCTCAGGGCTCACTAATGCCTAAGTCATATTGTGTGCCCCAAATGAGTGCAGGTGTGCTGAGATACTGCTCACCTGGTCCCTGGGATGGTCAGGGGAGGCCTGGGGCTGGCGCTCCCAAGTCTGTCGCTGCCCTCCATTTTTCCAAGGGGTTAGTACAAATATAATTTTCTATGTACTCCGTGACATAAAAGAAGGTTCAGAAACACTGACATGGTTGATAAGTGACAATTAGACCCAAATCTGCCTGACTGCCAAGTCCTTGCTCTTAACATGATACGATAATACCTCTTTAAAAATCACAATTAATATGAAGATAAATAAATTTCTATCAGTTAAAAAGGCTACCTAACACAATTCCTGGGTGGGTGGTATTCAAATCTGATCAGCTTTTTCACTGTGCCACAGGCCATTTGTGCAATCACCGTTTGTAAACTAAACGAAAATGGCCCGGAAAAGAGAAAAGAGTTGCCATTCCGCTCTCCTCATTATTCTGCGGGTTTAAAATCTCTTTTGGTATTTGGTATTGAAGAACTTTAAAAACGAATTAATTTGTTAGTTTCAGTGAGAGGGTATAGTGTATAAAAAGTCATACGTTAATATAGTGATCATCTACTCTGTGTTGGGTACCACTGACAACATATTAGTAAATAAGAACTTCGTGGCCCCTACCTTAATGAGGCTAATAGGCTAGAGCATGGCTTTGCAAACTGATATGCAGAGGAATCCGTGTGCTACTTGCTAAACCTCAGAATCTCTGGTCCCACCAAAGAATTCTGATTCATTAGCTTTGGGGAGGGACTTCAGAACTTGCCTTTCTACCAAGCTCCCAGGTGATGCTAATGCTGTCTGTCACAGGACCAAGTTTGAGTGGCTATGTTATTATTCTATCTGTTAACTTAATCCTTACAATTTCACAGGACAGATTTTATTATTCCCATTTTACAGAAGAAATTGCTGCTAAAATAAATTAGTGGCTATGCGACTTCAGAGGTTATACAAATCCCACAGGGAACTTACCTAAAACATCGATTCCTGAGATTTTTAGTTTGTGAGTTTGGAATGGGGGTCAGAAAGCTGCATTTGAACAGAGATCTCAGGTGAGTCTGATGCAGCTGATCTCAAGATTCTGCATCAGACCCTGGTTAAACACTATATCAAGTTCTCAAAGTCAGCAAATAGGAATATCAGGCTGGGCAATTTCAAAAAGTACTGAAATAAACCACTCAATTTGCTTATGAACATGTCAGATGTCACCACATCAGGCACTTGGACAACTAGTTACATAACTGGTATCTCATGACTATTACACAGGACCCTCATTATAATATTCACTACCTGGTACAATCAATTTAAGAAAATGCTCTAATTATTATTTTATATCTGAAAGTTAAATTTTTTTTTTTGAGACAGGGTCTCGCTCTCTTGTTCAGGCTGGAGTGCAGTGGTGAAATCATTGCACCCTCAAACCTGGGCACAAATGATTCTCCTGCCTCAGTCTCCCAAGTGGCTAAGACTAAGGGTATGTACCATCATCCCCAGGTAATTAAAAACAAAATTTTTGTAGAGAGGGGATCTTGCTATGCTGACCAGGCTAGTCTCAAACCCCTGGCCTCATGGGATCCTTCTGTCTCAGCCTCTCAAAGTGCTGGGATTATAGGTGTGAACCTCACCTGGATATTTTTAAAGGTATTTTAATATAAAAGTGGTAATCAGTGAAATGAATCTCACATATAACCTTTACTACAATATTTCTTTTTCCAAGATCACTATTGTACTACAGAAAGCAATCCATATTTATTACAGGAATGTATCAGAAGCAACTCTGTAACACTAAAATCAGTAAAACCAACCTCCCACCAGAGTTTGTTTTACTGAGAGCTTATCAGTAGCACTTCAAATGCAACACATCCTAAACCATGTTCAAGAGTTTTCCTTTCAGAATGACTTTCCATTTTTCACACTTCAATATTACCACAAGCAGGTACTTCTGCATTCTAAAAACTCTGACATATTTAAAAATCGTTCTCAACCGGCCTCTCATTCTTCTGTTAACATTAAAGGTGCACTAACTCTCCAACACAGCCATTTACTACCTCTGCTCTGACCACCCTATTGTTATCTCATCATGTCACATCCCATGTGTTCCACCTAGGCAATCCTTTCTCTCCCCACTGCTACCAATCTGCCTCAGCCCATTAATCAACCTGGCCCCAAGCAGTTTTGCACAGAATACATGCAGTGGGATTAGGTTTTCACAATTGTGAAGCTTTCAGAGGACAATAACAGAACCATGTATGTGGCAATTGAACTAGTGGTCCTTCTTCAGATTTTAGCAGATTTCTGTTCTGGAAGGATACACTGAGCCTCTTCTACAATGGCCAGATGTCCCAATTTGCTCCCCCAGCAATCACTTGTTGAACAAATGGCGCACTCTGCTGAGTTACACTGTCTCAGCTATGACTTCACTGTACAGTACTTGCATTGTCCACCTGGAGGAGATGGGTGCTCCATGACAGCGTGGTCTTATTTGGGGTTTATAACCAGGACTGGCACACTGTACACACTTAAATTAGAGAATTAATGAAGGAGGCAGGAATGAGATCATCATATAAGTCTTGAGAAGCACAAGCTAAAACCACTTTAGAAAAGGGGACGATTGTGCACGTTGGTAGGAAAGTAAGCCAGTTCAGTCACTGTGGAAAGCAGTGTGGAGAGTTCTCAAAAAACTAAAAATAGATTTACCATTCAATCCAGCAGCCCCACTACTGGGTATATTCCCAAAGAAGCATAAATCGTTCTACCAAAAAGACACCTGCACGCCTATGTTAATTGCAGCACTAACCACAAACACATGGAGCTAACCCAGGTGCCCGCCAATAGTGGACTGGATAAAGAAAACGGGGTACACGCACACCATGTGTGCAGCCACAGAAACACACACACACACACACACACACACACACACACACACACACACACACACAGTCATGTCATCTGCAGCAGCATGGTTGCAGCCGGAGGCCATCATTCTACGTGAATTAACAGAAACAAAACCGAATACAAAGTTCGCACTTATAAATGGGAGCTAAACCCTAGGCACACACGGGTACACGCATGGGAACGACAGACGCTGGGCACTACTAAAGGGAGAAAGGGGGGCAGGAAGAATAAGGCGTGAAAAATCCCCATCGGGCACCACGCTCACCAGCGGGGGACGGGGATGCTCAGTAGAAGCCCAAGGTCCGTCCCGCCATCCCTCAATATACCTGTGAACTAACACTGGCACATTAGATTCGACATCACTTGAATATAAAAACACACCTACTCGATTTTATCCCTCGGATAACAGAATAAAAAAAAATTGACCGGACTCGGTGGCTCAGCCTGTCATTCCAGCACTTGGGGAGGTCGAGGCGAATGGATGGCCTGAGCCTGAGGGTTCGAGACCCGCCCGGGCAAGCAGGCGAGCCCTCGTCTCTACAATAAATAAAAAATGGGCCGGGATCGGTGGCTCAGCCTGTAATCCCGCACTTTGGGAGGCCGAGGAGAATGAACTGCCTGAGCCCGCCGGTTCGAGACCTGCCTGGGCAACTTGGCGAGACCGCATCTCTACAATAAATCAAAAAAATTAGCCGGGAGTGGTAGCGCGCGCCTGTAGTTCCAGCTACTTGGAAGGCTGAGGCGGAAGGATCGCCGTAGCCCAGCAGGTCGAGGCTGCGGTGGCCGGGAGCGGCCACTGCACTCCAGTCTGGGTGACGGAGTGAAACTCCAACTCAAAAAAAAAGAATAAAAATAAAAAACCAACTGTGTTGGATAAACTGAGAGGAGAAAGTGACCAGAGCAACGAAGAGAGGCGTGTAGTGAAAGCGCAGGGCAGCAGACCAGGCTCGTCACCGGCGTGGCTTCCCACCTATGCCTTGGGCAAGCCATCCTGCTTTCTGGGATTTCTCGCTCCTCGGATTTCAAGCAAGCCCTTCTAAGATCCCGCGCTAGTACCAACAACGACCCCGGGAAATCGGAGAGTAACTGCCCCGGAGGGGGGTGGCGTCGCCCGAGGACCCGCGGGGCCGACAGCGCTGAGATGCGGTACCTGAACGTTCCGTGCGGTGCAGCGAGGAGCACGGTCGCAGCCGCCGAGACCTCCGGGCTTCCAGAGGACACAGGGTGGAGGGAAAGGGGACGAAGAGGTAAGAGCCCCAAGACCCCACGAAGCATCGCCGAGAAATCAAGGGAACTAGGGACACGACCGGAAGAGCGCGTCAGCCTGCCAAACTCGTTCCCAGAACCCGCTTCCGTTCCCCAGTGCGGCGCGTTCCCTCCCTCTGCCTTCCGGTGGGCAACGCGGCCCGGGAACCGTGTTCCGGGCTCGCTCTCTGCAGGCCGAGCCCACTGCCTCCAGGCGACTCCGCCCTTCCCTGGAGTGGAGTCCCGGGACGCGGCCCGGAGTCGATCGCTGGGGCGATGGTCGCTGGTGCGGAAGCCGCGGATGCGGCCGGGAAGACTAGGCGAAGAGCTGATGT